CAACAGCTAATTCCTTTTGGTCTGTATCGCAAACTGATAAATCAGATATGTTTTGCTTGCAGTGGATATCGGGACGCGGACTCAGGGTAACGCCACCAAGAATTCTGAAAATTTATAATTGAATAAGGTACATATTTCTAATAAAAGTAAAGGTAATTGCCAACCTTGTTCTAAAGGGATGCTCGCCTCTTTGTGTGAAATTGAACTTGCCAGCGACTGGACAACGGACAGGAACCGGATTTTTCGCCAAGAACAAATCATATTTCCAAGCCTCTGAATTGGGAAATTGTACCCAAGAGCAGACTGTGCTGAAATCATCCTTGATGACAGCTAAGCCCTTGCGATAGCGTATAATATTGTGATGTCTGGGCATAAAGTCAAAGCAAACGTAATCCTTTTGGCAACCATCGACAGTGAGACGCGCCATCATAACACGATTGCCCCGACGCTCGCGACATACGTAAATTGTCTTACGGTATCGTGCTCTATCCGGATAATATGTCTCATTTATGTGCGTCTCACTGATAGACACATCGGCATCAATGTTAGCCGTGTTCACCCATTCGCCAGAGAAATTCTGCGGTAGCGTACAGCCGGGCTCAACAAATTCCGCCTTAACTGGGGTAAGCTTAAGACGCTCTGGCGAGTTTTCTGGCGTTTTGAGTGTGTTGCACTCGGCAGTGATGGAGACACCCACATAGAGATCATCATCACGATTCTTAAGGAAGCAACGGTATTTTTCATCCTTACGCGATTCCTTTGTATTGGCAACAGCAAAATAATGATTTTTTCCCACAAACCAATCGCCCAAGCAGCTAAACTCAACGGTGCCGCTGAAGGTGCCCTCCATGCCCTCGCACTTCTGATAAGTGATGTTGAACTTTTGATTCTGTATAAGAAACTGTGTTCCAGCCGTTTGACAAGATTGGATTCGAGCATCTGGCTTATTGCACACGCCCGTAAAACGGAATCGATTCTATAAACAGACGTTAATTGTAATTGATTAATTAGAAAATTCAATTACGTGTTAATCACGTGCTAATCTTGCCTGATATGTAAAATGCCAAACGCCCTCGAGCGACGAGCGACAATTGATTGGCACAAAGTTTTCATTGAACAGCGTAATCTGCTGCTGATCATCTTTAATGCCCTTGCAGACGTTTTCAACGGTGGGCTCCTGGCCAGGAGGCAGACCCACACATGGTCCCTCGAATTTCTCGAATATGTTCAATGTGCGTATTATCGTACGCACGCAGTGATAACAGTTAACGGAGCGCTCCTTAAACACAAACGAGTACTCATCGCCGCGGTGTTTCTGGTAGTTGATGCAATAGCCACGCGTGGACATGGAGGTCGCATCGATGATCGTTTGGGTGGGCAAGCCGACCTCCCATGAAAACCACGAGCCCTGCAGAATCTTGGGTATAATGCAGTTGCGCTGCTCGAGCTCATTGTATTGTGCGTGCGCTGTAATTAAAATTTGGGCAGTGCCGAAATTATTCAATTCTCAATGAATCACAATGAAGCCTCGCTTTGAGGCTTGGGTGTGGCATTAGCTCAAGTCACTGTACTAACCCACGCTCGAGACGCCTAAGAGGCAGATGAAATTAAGATATTTGTTCATATTAAAATCGCTTAATGTAGATACTTTTATGTGAACATTTTTTAACAGAACACAACCACTAAGCAATTGAAATTAAAACACAACTTGAGCAAAGAAAACACGCAACAAACAAATTTACCAACTACTACGCACACGTTTTACAGCACTGTAGACGCAACACTGAATTTTACAGCACTGCACGCATGTTCAACTAGTTCTAATCGATTTATTTCATACTTTCAGTTGAAATTCAAATTGCATTGGTTGCATAGTCAGGCTCTGTTCTGAGATCAAAACTCAAATTTTTCCGCAGACACATTATCTGACTATTGATTCGTTCTTAACCGCTTTATGTTGTAATAAAAATGTCTGGCTGATTACAGAAATCACAACTTAACAATACAATTGTGCTAAATTTAATGCCGTCTGGTGCGCCTAATGCGAGCATCGACAGCTCCGACTGCTCCGACAGCTATCTGTAGCATTCCAATTGTCGCACGCTCAACGACCCGAACGCCCCCGCCAATAATGACTAACACACAATCACACACACAAATCTGTTTGAAATGCACTTTAAACTGTTTTCATCATTCCATGAGCATCCAGAATGTTTTCAGATAAAAACGATTTCTGGCTATCAAATGATTCACGCCTGCATCTATGGAGTCCCTAGTTTTATTGGGCTACTATAGGAATCCGTTTCTGATTGCACTTTGGAACTTATTCAACTTTCTACAAATGGCATGTTGTTGATAAGTGTAGTCTAGGTACACACTTTTGTGTGCGGATCGCGTCGTGCTTATCACTGGGCGGTAAAGGTCACTCCGTGCATGACGAGCCCGTCGTCCGGAATGTCTATTAAGCGGTCAGTGCAAATTTGGCGCAGTCTTAATTCGAAGCCCGTTTAAAAGGGACGTGCGCTCTTACAGTCTCTTGAAAACTTAACTTAAACCCATTGCGGGACACTTAGCAATAATCCAATACTCCGGTTTATATTGCCAATCGCAATCAGATGGGTTAGTAGGCAGCGGTTATATCTGATCGAGTGGATGTTTAACGTGGGTCTAATCCTTTAAAGCAGCTGCAACAATGGGCAGTGGCCTGCATATGGAAGCCATTGATCGCATAACATCTATTCCTTTGGTGGAGTCAAGCGTTAAGCGTGTCGAGCACATCTACGACAAAGTCAAGAATAACAATCGCCTCTTCAGCTGGTACTTTGAGACGGCCGAGGCGACAATTAGTGCCGCCTACGATACGGTCCAGCCCGCTGTCAAGCTCTTCGAGATGCCCATCAAGCGACTGGACAATATGATGTGCAAGAGCCTGGATATACTGGAGCAGCGCATACCGTTGGTCTATCTGCCGCCCGAGATGGTAAGTAGAGCTGCGGCCCCATATATACGCCAATGTGGCATTAGATCCGCTTACATAGGCCATCATATTGTGTTTAAAGATGTATTGGAATACCAAGGAGTATATGTCGGATCATCTGGTGCGGCCCGTGCTCAAGCGTGCGGATTCAGTCAAACAAATTGGAAATGCGGTGCTCGAGAGTCCACTGACAACATACGCAGCAGATCGTATTGATGGCGCCTTCACAGCTGGCGACAAATTCGTTGACAAATATCTGGTTCCCATACGCATAGACCAGGATCAGACGGACGGTGAGTGCAAGTCTTAATATATATGTGTTCCTAGCTGACGGCATGCAGCTCGTGGTTTATTTTTAAAATCCGTCGTCAGGCTTCATGTTAAACAAAAAAAAAAAAAAACTGGCGTCCAGCGAGGTTATCAATTTGTGCTCCACATGAGTTTCGAATCTATTTGATTTTCATTTTGTCGCTTGCCTAAGCGGCGGCAAACAAGTCATGCGATAAGCCGCGGCTCAACCTTATGAAAAAGAAATGAAAAAAAAAAAAAAACAACATTTAAAGAAAAACCTAGGTATATCATTTTGAAATTATTTTTAATTTACTGCACAGCAGCGCCCCATGATGATGATAACGAGCCGCCAGCAGGCGCAGCGTCCGACGAAAGGGGCGCCATTAAAGCAATTCATCACGGTCAACGCTTCTCTCGCAAGCTCAAACGCCGCCTCACACAAAGAACCCTCGCCGAGGCGCGGGCCCTCAAGAAACAAAGCAAGGAAGCAATCCATGTGCTCATCTACGCAGCCGAATTGGTAAGTCGATTTCATAAGCAAGTTACAGTTAGTTGAGCGCGTCTCGTGCTTACTTTTGTGATACGGGGGAAATTTCGTGCGTGTCACGACTTGCGCTAAGCACGACTTTAACATAGAACCGAAAGCTTAACATAATAATAACAATAATACCAATAAAATAATAAATATTTGCACAAATTTAATTCCAATATCGAAACTGAAAATGATTATAATAGATTTCAGAATGTAACTTATTTTATTTAGAAACTTTATTTAAATTTAATTGAATTCCCAAATTCCCAGATTGCCACAGATCCAAAGCAGGCGATGCAAAAGGCCAAAGAATTGTGGGGCTACTTGAGTGCGGACGAGCCGGAAAATCAAGCCCGTCCCGTGACCCTGGAACAGTTAATCGTGCTGCTGACGCGCGAGTCGGCCAGAAGAGTTGTCCACCTGGTCAACTTCAGCGCCAATGTTGCCTCAAATATACCCAAGTGAGTGACCAAGGACAATGGGCAGTGAGCCCACACATAAACATATTTAATAAACAATTTCAATAATAGACATTTGGCACACACAACCACGGAGGTTGTGCATCGCATAATATACATAAACAATCGCATAATCACCATATCTCGCCTGGATAAGTTCAAGAGCATATCCAAAGAGGAAGCCGAATCTCTGCTGAAGCGCATGGTCGCCTTCTATGGCAACCTGCAAGGGCTCACCAATGGTTATCTGGTAAATATATTGACTATTCCGACTACGATTGTAATTTGCAATGCAATCTATTTAAAGGAACGTGTCGCGAGCTTTCTGTCCGGACGTATCGAAGCCGAGAAGGTGACGGGCAGCGAGAGCAATACGGTCAGCAGATCCTCGAGGCGACGACAGGAGGCAAACAATTTCTCGCCGGCACATAATAATATAAATGGAGTCTATTGAGAAATCGAGTTTTTTATTGCTGTCGTATTTTTGTTTCTAATCATAGAGTTTTGCTTTTGCTTTCATATTCGTACTAGTTAAACAGTTTTATTTGTTACATAGTGCATAAATCTAAGATTAAATTCATTTAAATAAATGCTCCTTATAGTATTTCAATTCTGCTATGCTGTCCATAATATCGTCCAAGCTGCGGTGAGCGAGTTTCTTCTGTGCAGCTGCTTGAATAACTCTCGGATGCCATCTGGTCGCCAGCTCCTTCACAGTTGAAACATCTATGATACGATAATGTAAATATTCATCGACGGCTGGATAAAATTTTCGTATAAACAAGCGATCCATATAAATTGAGTTGCCGGCCAACGGGCACTTTTTTTCGGGTATGTATTGCTTGAGAAACGACAAGATAATGTTCTCCGCCAGCTCGGGTGTTACGTCCGACTCTTTACATTTGTCGATCAGGCCGGATTCATTGTGATGCTTAATGCACCATTCGTTCATGTTGTTGTAGACTTGTGGCGGATGACGGATGGCGAAACATAGACACTCTGCTTTGATATTTAGTTGCTTGTCTGTTATAATACAAGCAACTTCCAGTATCTGATCTTTATCAATACTTAGTCCGGTCATTTCCAAATCCATCCAAACTATGTCCGATTGATCGCCAACGGTACTTTTGCACGTGCTCATTTTTATCACTTGAGTATGGCCAAGCGCGGGTATATGCCTACTTTGAGAGTGAATAACACTACTGAATAAGGTACACAGGCGATTTAATACAAAAATCATTGATACAAATATGAAATTTATGTTTTCTACTGGCCTTACGACTTATCAATTGAGAAGTGACCAGTTTTCTGAACTTAGGGAAATTTTAACAGCATAGCAACAGCTGTTTGTTGCTCAACACTGGGGGAGTCATTCTGTGAGTTATGTTGCACCTAGTATCTAAATGTAATTAGCTTTGTTTAATTATGATGTTCAATATAATTAATAATATAATATTTTTGCCACAATGAAGTACTTTTGGCAAATATGAGCAACAAAAACTTACATACAAAAACCACTGGCTTAACATAACATTTTTTGCAGCACTGCACAGCACTGCAATTGGAATAGTTGATAACACTGGCTGGACCTTGTGCGTTTTCTCCACATAAAACAAACGATTATAAAAAAAAAGAAAACAAACATAGCTGAAACAAAAACACAAAATGTCCTCCTCAACGTTAAGAGATCAGCCCGGAACTTCAAAAGAATCGTTTGAGGACTTCTACACAGAAGTAAGTTGAGTGGTGGTAACAATGCCGTGCCAGCGCCAAAGCCAAAGCCAGCGCAAACGGCTGCGGCAGAGGCCCTTCCAAAGATAGCAAAAATTGAATTTCATTATACACATAAATAAACGATTTTGTGACTATTTTCGCAGGTGAAAGAAATTGAAAAACGCGATTCAGTACTAACTCCTACTCAACAAATTGATCGTTTACTTCGTCCAGGTTCCACATACTTCAATCTTAATCCTTTCGAGGTGCTGCAGATTGAGCCCGACGTCGAGGTGGCCGACATAAAAAAACGCTATCGCACCCTGTCCATACTGGTACATCCAGACAAGAACCACGATAACCAGGAGCGCGCCCAAATGGCATTCGATATAGTTTCTCGCGCCTGGAAAATATTGGAGAACGACCTAACGCGCAAAAAGTGTTTGGAGGTGTACGAGGAGGCCAAGGGACGTACAGATCATATGGTAAACATACATTAGCCTTGATGTAGTCTTAAAGTCAAGCATATCATTTTGTTTATAGATTGCCGAAAAGCGTAAAAAACTCAAAAAGGAGGGCAGATCCTTTGAGCCCATACCAGAAGACGATCCTGTCAAATATAAACATGCCATATATGTTATGGTTATGAAACTGTTTGCCGACATGGAACGTCGAAGGCAAAAGCTTGATCAGCGCGACCAGGAGGAACGCAAGCGAAAGCGGGAAACGGAAATCGAGGAGGAGGAGCGTGTCAAAGCGGATCGCGAGTGGCAGCAAAACTTTGAGGAATCTCGTCAAAGCCGCGTAAATAGCTGGCACGACTTTCAATCCGGCGCTGGCAAATCAAAGAAAACAAAGAAACAGAAACATATGACGGGCATGATGGTACCGCCAAAGTTTAAGCCGGAGACACGATGAAGTTCGCTTGTGCTTGTCGCCTGCGTCGCGTTATTCTACACATATATTTTTACATTTTTATAAGTATCCTTTGGAATTGTAATTGACATGATTCGTAATTTATAGTTTTAGGAAAAACAATCCTGTGTTTCATCTGTTCACCCAATTTCTTTTTGTGGCCTACATTTTAGAGTTCCGTGTATAAACTGGCTGTGAATACAATATCACGCTTTATGGCCGCGGAGGCCTCTTCCATTTTGGACTGCAGGCCAGGATTGCCTATCCTAATGGCGGCAGTTTTAACATCACGCAGCGTTTCGTCCAGTTGCTGGATGCAGCGCACAATGATGCCCTCCTGCACCTCGGTCAGCTTCATAATCTCAGCAAAAGGCTGCCGAAAACGAAAGCGAGTTGATGAAAAGCTTTTAAGGGATCAAGTTGGCACTCACCTTGTTTTTGGCCCACTCATAGACAACCTCGAGCAGTCCAAAGTTTAAATTATTCTCTGCCTCGATTGCCGCTTGACAGCGCTGCTCCTCGGCCAAGATGGTGTCATTGATTTGCTCGAAGGCGGCGACGCATTTCTTAAGTGGCTCTGGAATAACAGGTTCGCCTTGGATTTTGGCCTGAAACACCAGACCCGACAATAGCGCAGCTATTTCCGCCGGCTCCAGATCGTTGAACATATTGCAGAGTATCAGCTCGGTAATTAACAGCTCATTCTGGCCCATCTCGCAGGCGACCTTGCCCTTGAGCGTCACCTCGTTAAGCTCATCAATATAATTAAGGGCGCGCAAAACCTGCAGCTTGTTGCAGTAATCCGGATACAGGGTTAAATTCTTGGCCGAGTTCTTGAAGCGCAGCTCTTCAATGTGAATCTCCAGCACACGCCGCTCGTACACCTTGGCGAACTCCTGCTCAAAGCCGGCAATGTTGGTGTGTGGCAGCACATCGCCCACCTGGCGTGCCAGATGATCCACATAGTTCAACATGGCCACTTCGCTGTCTGCATTTACATTAATCTCCTTGGACATGTTAACGTATTTGATGCTCTCCGGATTGGCATTGTACGCCTCGTTAAGCTGATGCAGCTCTGTGACGGCTTTGACAACTGTGGCACCAGGTGGCGCATCCTTAAACCGCTCCAATTGCCGCTGTTCCCAGTTGCGTATGATGACATCGGCATCCACTTTGATTGTTGACTTTGTAATGGTTAATATATCGATGGCTCTAATGTCCAGCACGGTGTGTCCGCCAATGCCCTCCGGATGGAAGAACTTGTGCTGTGGCGTCAGCGAGAGAATTTTGTAGTAGAGCTCGCCACGATTGACGTTGTCGCTGTCATTGCTTTTGAATTGATGGTCCAGCACGAGCACCTTGTAGACGGTGTCCTTACCCAGGACGGACTTAACATTCAGCAATATCGCTAGCTTGTTATAGTGCTTACCCTGGGTGATGACAATGACGCGTCCTACTTTCAATTCCTTTTGGATTTTCGGCTGGGTTACAATAAATTTCTGGAAAAAAGGCAAGAGAGTTAACACTTTATTCGATAAGTAGTGTCAGCTACAGACCATTATGCGATGCTTCTCCTTCCAGTACTCCACGGATTTGTCATAGAAATAGATCAGCGGCTGCAAGTGCTCACCCAAGGTGGGCAGCATGGCGAACTTGTCCTCGGCCAGTTGCAGCAGCTTCTGCTGTGTAGGTAGCTGCAGTTTCTGGTTGAATTCCTTAAAGCTGAACTGCATAATGTCCTCCACCTTGATGCTTTCGATGCGTAGGCACGTCAGGATGACGGCGTAACGAAGAATAAATTGTGACTGCAGCTTCTCGGGCAAGCCGAGGATCATGGGACGCAGTTCCATGGAGGGCGGCACACTTGCCTTGCACATCAAGATGACGGTGCCGTTTTCATCGTGACCACGTCGTCCGGCACGTCCGGCCATCTGTATGTACTCGCCCGGCTTAAGATTGCGCATCTCCATGCCATCGAACTTCATGTGCGAGTCGAAGATGACCGTACGGGCCGGCATGTTGACACCCATGGCAAAGGTTTCGGTAGCAAAGAGAAGCTTGACCAGACCGTTCTGGAAGAGCATCTCGACAATCTCCTTAAGTATGGGCAATATGCCGCTGTGATGGACACCAATGCCCCGCTCCAGTGCGTCCTTCAGTGCCAGCACCTGGGGTATAGTGCGATCGGGTGGCTTCAGCTTCGCCAAGCATTGCAGGAAGAACTTTTGCACGGCTCCCTTCTCCACTGCCGTATTGAGATCCACGGATTGCAGCGAAGCCACATTAGCATCGCAACGATTGCGGGACAGGGTGAAGGCCACCACGGGCATTTTGTTGTTGCGCTTAAGAAAATCAATCAGACCAATCCATGTGCACTGATCCTGCTTGCTGCTGACATAGTTTTTGGGACCGCCCGCTTTAGATTTGCTCTGCATCTCCTTCTTGCGCTCCACAGCCTTCTCGTAGTTGCCCTGCAGGAATTTGCCCTGGGCATCGACCAACAAAAAGATGTCATCACGGCTCTTGCCACCGGCGCCAGTGTAGAGGTAATGCATCAATGGGACTGGACGCTTCAGCGTGCTAATCACGTACACCTTTCGCTTCTTGGTGCTACCCACCCAATCGGCCAGCTCCATGGTATTGGGCACCGTAGCGCTAAGCATGATAATATTCACATGATCTGGCAGCAATATGATGACCTCCTCCCAGACGTGGCCGCGCTCGGGATTGTTAATATAGTGCACCTCGTCAAATATGACGTACTCCAGGTCACGGGTTATGTCGCTGCCGCAGTAGAGCATGGAGCGTAATATCTCGGTGGTCATGATCAGGCACGAGGCGGTTGGCTCGATTTGCAGATCGCCCGTGATTAGGCCCACGTCCTTGAAGGTTTTGCGAAAGTCGCGATATTTTTGATTGGACAGCGCCTTAATGGGCGACGTGTATATGGTGCGGGTCAGATCCCGCTTGGACAGAGCGATGGCATACTCGGCGACGACGGTCTTTCCCGCGGATGTGTGCGCCGCGACGAAAACATACTGGCGCTGCTCCAGCTTGAGAATGGCCTGCTTTTGGAATACATCGAGTTCGAAGGGAAACTCCATGGCCGGGCAGGGTATTTGCTCCTTGAAATTGTTAATCGGCTGGCTGATGTCCACCATTTCCGCCCAATCGCTGCTGAAGCTTTTCGTTGTGGTCGATATATTCAGCACCGGCTGCAGATCTGCGTTCATAATCTCGTCATCCACATCCTTGAACTCTGCCGGAAATTGCAGATCTCGCTGTGGTGCCTTTGTGCTGTTGGCTTCGCTGTCGCTGCGCGTCATCTGCAGCCACTGTTGCACGTCCAGGTCGTGCTCCAAATTCTCCAGCAGATCCACATTGCTGGCGGTGGCAACCGGCTCCTCGGGCTTTTTGGCTTCTGAGAAATCGTGACCGCTGACAAAGCCCGGCGGCACCGTTAGCAGTTTGTCACCCAACTCAAAGTTGTCCACGTCCAGCTTGGCAATCTCCGGTGGCGGCTCCTTGGCGTCAAAGCCGCCCGGCCAGAAGGGATAGTTCATGTGCGAGCCTCGCGTCATTTCCTCCAACAGACCTGGCTCACGCTGCATGGACATCGAGTTATTGGCATTGGCGCCCACATCCTCCACATCGACCTCGACAAACTCGAGTATTTCGCCAGTCACAAAATCTCGACGTGGAACCAGCCTTGTGCTTCCCGGGCATTTGGGAATGTGCAACAGGCGCATTTCATTGAACTTGCGCGGCAGCACATCGGGCAGCGGATCATGAATGGATATATCTGGATAAAGTATGTAATTGCGCAGCTTCTCAAGATTGTCCTCGCCGCGAATGGCATCCATTGTGCATCTGCTTGGAATCTAATTTTTAATATTTACACAGAGCGACAAATGAGAGCAAATAAGAGATGTGCATACAAACATACAAACAACTGTTCTGTGCTCAGTGAGACCATGCTATGCGACTAAATTTAATAAAAATACTTTTATAAAAAAAATACCAGCTATGCTGTATAAATATGTGCCTAAACAAAGGATTTCTTGAAACTTCATCGTGGGAACTTTAGACTTGAATTGAGAAGCCAATCGAAAGAGGAATAAATAATAAATAATAATAAGACGTAGCTCTAAGTAACTCGCTTTAATTCACAAATATACATAGATATGTTTGATTCTGTTATGCCTCAAGCACAAACAAATGCCAATAAAATACTAAACAAGCAACGATCATGTTGCAATCATACAGTCATACATGTATGGACTGTCATATCGCATAAGTTCTATGATTTTTGTATGACTGAAATGTTGCATACGCTGCCCACAACTTGTTGCAGCTGCCAAACATATCTTTTTATCAGATTTGCTTTGTATAGAGAAATAAATAACTATCAAAGATAATTTTTTAAGTTGGAGTGATGAAATTGGAATTAATTTATCGATCCTATATTTACGACTGACTGCAATGGCTAAGCATTCCATAAGAGTCAATATTCAATTGTTATACTCTGTTCACAGCGTGAAAATAAACATATTGGTTCTAGGAAATTATTGCCAATTAAATTCTTTGAAGATAAACAATCAGATTATAGCTCTCAGCTTACAGTTTATAAGAAATGCAATACTTATATGAATACTTATACCTATACTTATACGTATACATTTCCTTATACTCATACCTATACTCATACTTATACTCATACATATACTTACACTTATAATTTACTTATAATTTATAAGAAATGAAACACTTATATACATATCAAAATACTATATTTATTTGATTCGTCTTCAAGGATCCACCTTTAATTGCATATATGTATGCTCACACATATTTAGATTAGATATATTTGCCATTATTTGCGGCGAAACACTTCAACCTTTAAGGGATGACACTTCTCATCGGGCACTGCGGCACCCACCGGCATGGAGACATCGCCCTGGGGGCAGGCACTAAGAGCCACCAATAAATTCATATCGGCTATGAACTCAATAAAGTCACCCTTCTGGGCGGGACTGGGCTTGCAGAAGTACTGTTGCGTATCTTTGGTGAAGCCGGTGCACATGAATATGTTCCACACATCGTGCACATCCTGTTCGGTCATGCCGCGCTCCTCCGCCACCGCCTTGACGAGGGAGCTGTGGCAGCTGCCCACGCGCTCCTGCCCGGTTATGAGTTTATATGTGTAGTCATCGCATCGGGTGCCGATCACATCATGCAGTGCGCCGCCATCCTCGTCGATGCCATATTTGGCCAGCGTGTCGAACACGAAGGTGGCCATGGGACGCAGGTAGGGTAGGCAGCTCCAGAGTCTGTCGTACACCTGCAGATGGGCGGCATGCAGCTGGCGCGTCTTGCCCGAATAGAAGCGCTCTTGCCGATTTTCCAAATTCCACAAGTTGACATCACCCACCTGGGCGCCCTCATGTACGGTAATGCGGCACAGATCACCCGTCTGCATGGTCCAGGTGCGCGCCTCGCGCTTCGGCACCACCAATGTCTCCACCAGCTCGCCAGTCAAGGCCTGATAGCGTTTATCCTGCACAATATAAAAGCTGTTTATTATCTGACTAGATCTGACCTAGTTCAAAATTCAACTTACATCGTATTCGTCCTTGGACACGACAGCTGCCGCCGGCTTATCATAGCATATGATGGGCTGGTGCTTGGCAAATTCCCGCGGCTTGTCGCCTCGTCCACACCACGGACTTGGTCTGGATTCCGACATGTGTGCTGCGCAATTCTAAAAAATTTTATGCAAATTACACAAATCTTTTGGGGTAACAATTTTTACAATTATTATGCTTTACTGATAACTGCTCGTCGTCAACTGATCGAAAAGCTGCAGATTTCGCTTATCGGCAACGGCAGCAACCGGCAGGTGTAACCGGGGCTTTGCAAAGCTTTGTCTGAACTATTATCGATAACTAATAAAAGCTTTTAGCGCGGCGCTTAAATTAAATATTTAGTCATATTTGAAAGTTATTAAACAAATATCAGATCCGAGCGATGCACAATTTGTGAGGGCTTTCTTAAGTTTAGTTGAATTACTTTACAAATAATATATATCTCTCTTAATCATGTATCAAAATTGAACATTCAACTATTAATAATAAAAGGCGATATCGATAACTTTTTGGAAGGCGCCTTCATTTAAAACATGCACTTTGTTAGTCGAGGGGATCTTAATAGTTTAACAATTTTTTGAGTCACAAAACAACTATATTAATTTTATTGTTTCTGAAGAATACGTTGCAGATTATTATAAACATTGGATCAATTTTTTAGATGGTAAACAAATTAACAATAATCGCATCATATAATTGAAAGTTTGTCTTTGTAACGAAACGTTGCATATTATACAAGTATTTATAGATTTTTTGTTTGTTTTAAATAATTACTAATGCTTGTTTTTGTGTGCGATAGGACCTAACATCTAAGTGCAATACACATATTTATATATAGATATATTGATAAATCTAAATGAAACTGTTTGCTAAACTACAAATCTTTTGTTTTTCACTTTTTCCCTGCTTAGTTATCTATGGATGTTTTCCTATTTGCTTAAGTTTGCATCATTATGCGCTCGGTGGTGTGCAGTGGCGCGGGTTCTGAGTCTGAGAATGGCCGCTGGTTCTGTATTTTGTGCATCAGCTCGTCGAGCAGATTGCTTAGCTCTTTGGTGGAGAACTCCTGGGGCATGGGCAAGCGTTCCAAAGCCATTTTTAAAACGACACACGGCTCGAGTTCCGGACAAACTATGCACATGCCATTCACCAGGCAGCTCAAGCTCTTGGCTATTTCACTCTGGCATAGACGATGCTTCGATGTGGGGCATGGCAGCAGGCTGATGCGCGAGCATATCTCACTTAGCTGAGGCTTTAGGTTTTCCCAGCGCGCATGTATATCCTCCACGCAGCTGACGTTGTGTATATGCCTGAACTTTTCATTGATGTCAATGTAATCCAGAAATATCTGACCCTGATTTGTCCAATTTGGCACCTTGACATTGCTGCCGTCCGTACACTCAAACTGACTCAGCAAATTGTATAAGTATTCCAGTTTGCCTAAAACAAATTAACAATCGTATAAAAAAACATTCTTTGTACTTAATTGTTTATCATAATTACTGTTAATGACGGCATCTGGTGCGATATACTGATAGATGACTTCATGCGCCAGTACCCAGTGCTTGGCCTTCAGCAGATATTTTGCCTGCAAATGACGCTGGTTCTGGGCACTCGCTTTCAGCGCCTTGGCATAGTCCACCCAAGACTCGGGCACACCCAACTGTTCTATGACGAATTGCTCCTCCTCGTTGAGGGGCACATCGGCGTCTATGCTGACATGCTGCTGCAGTGTGTGCTGCACAGCACGTTCGCGCTGATTCCGATCCTTGATATGCAGCTGCACAAATATGGCCCACTGCCACAGACCCTCATTCTCCAGCTGGCTAGCAAAATCAACGTGTAGCTGCGCCTCTGCCAGCGAGCTGCAGTGACAATAGCCCAGCGCCTCCAAGGTTTGTAGCAGCATCCAGCTGTAAATAAAAAAAAAAAGTATTGTTTAATTTTTTAACAGTTGAACTGCTGTCACAATAGCTTACCTTAGCCGAAAGTCCATGGGATCGGAGGTGTGTGTAATTGGGTTCAATGTTTGCTCCAGGGAATGCTTACGCTTCGAGTAGAGCTGCAGCAGATGGTAACGTAGATCATAGACAGGACTCTTGCTGGAGTAGGGTGCGCCTTTGTAGCTGGGCTTCGGTTCCTCCGCGTAAAGCTCATCGGCCTGGAAAGCCTTGTCATACTCCAGCATGGCATCAGTTATGGTTGAGGTGGGCGCCGTAAAGTACCACAGCTGCAGTGCCAATACGGTTAGCCAGCTACCATCCTCCAACAGGTTGATGGGGCCATGTGAGGATTGCATCAGCGGTACGCCCGCGGCCATCATAAACATTTTAATGCGCTCCAGACTAATGTACTTATCCGATTTGCTCTGCTGCCAGGCAAAGAGTTGCTCTTCTATGAGCAGGCGGACCACAGCGCCAGAGCTAAGTTGTGCCAGAATCAAAGCTAGGTTGGCATCGTCGTATTTGAAGGCCAATTCGCAGGCTTCGGTCACACGATGGCAGCTCAAAAGCTCGAGCATATGCGCCAGATAACTATTGCTGCTGACCTTCTTTGAGAGCAGATCCTTGCTGACCAGCGTGTTTTCCAGCCACTCCGAAAGCAGATTGCGCCGGCACATGACCACATAGTGCGAGCTGACGTCCTGGCCGATTAGCTCCTCATGCTCACCCCACAGTGTGAACAAAAGGGACCACACGGAGACTCCATAGCTGGCCATGCTGCTGGTGTTGTTTAGCTTAATGGCCTCGGCCAGATGCTTGGCTATCAGTTGTGTTCCGTTGCTCGACTTCAGCCAGGGACAGTCGCTACCCTCCACCTGATTCGAGCTGCAGCCCTGCAGCTGCACTTGCAAATGTGGCACAATGCTTTCAGCAAAATCTGCGTACATATCGACTGTATTGAATTTGATGCGCTGCAGCAAATTGGGCGAGAAATCGTTTGAGGCGCGCGGCTCAAAAACAAGCGCTGCGGGCAAGGCCCTAGAACTAACTATAATACAGAAAAATCAAAGTAGGTCAACATGAGAGTGAATTCCTGGCCAAATTAATGAGTAATTTGTGCACTTACGCTCATGCACGCTGCGCAGATTGTTGTATGTGTTGGGCACCATCAGCGTGTTTTGTGGTCCAAAGCTTAGCTTGAAGGCTCGTCCCTTGTAGAAGCCCAGATCCGCAATCCAGTGCTCGTGGAGGCCCCTCGTTATGGAACGCGTCAAAGGCACCGTGGTGGCGAATACTTTAATGGGTGCCACTTTGGGTTTGATAACAAAATTGAATGGCTTTAGGCCACCCAAAGACGCTGCTGGAGCCTTCGTTTCAGCTGGAATAATGCTTTCGGCTGCCAGCGATGAGGCCTGCAAGAAAACCAAATGAGTAACAGGTATAAAAGTGAACAATGTGCCGGCATTTACCTCCTCCGATTGCAATTCGCGGATTATGCTAGTTACAGAAGCTGAAGAGGATACGGCTAAGAGTGGTGATTGTCGTCCATATTCGCTTGAGGTCTCCGAGGCAGCCGCATCCTTCCACAGATTTGTATCCTGTGAGAACAGGTTTTGAGTGCGTTTCAGTTGCGGTCGCTTATGCATCGGCTGTGTATCTGTTGGAATTAACAGAAATACATTGGGATTAAACAATTAACTTGGAAGTTAACAAATTGCAATTAACAAGAACTAGGGCATCAGAAATATAACTACAATTAAAATCTTTGATATACATTTGCCTACAGTTGATTTAAAATCGGATACGAATATATTTGGGCATATCTCGCAGATACAAAACATTTGATTTATAGTTTTTCGTAAAGCTCACACTCTTGATTTTTGAAACATCTTGATTTTTAATATATCTTCATGTTCACAAATACTGACTGAGTATAGGAAACTCTCGACTTGAGCACAATCTTGACATGAAACTTTTACAGATAGAGCTACTTTATAGGTACACACCCATCTCGTCGTCGCTGCCTTGATCCTCTACAAATAGGGACGATTTCATCAGTTGCATTTTGTGCGGCTCTTTGCCGACAACCTCTTGAGCCAGAGCGGCTGTGGGGCTGGTCACAGTACGGGGCGCATCGAACATGGAGAAGTCCGTGCCGCTGCCGGCTTGAAAGAACTCTGCGATGTGGAAAATAAAACAAATAATTAGCACACACTTTTTAATAAGTGTTAGCTAGAGCTACGCACGCGTCTTGTCCATCATCAGAAACTCTGCTGAGTTGTCCATTGGCCGAAAGCCGCTGACCACGCCGGCGGCCAATGATTTGGGATCCATGCTACGTGCCGCCTCCTCGGAGATCTTCTGCGCTTTGCGCAGCGATGTCAAAGTCATTTTATCAGTGGCAGCAGCGCGTTGAGCATCCATTGCCACCATTTTGGCTTTTTTCGGATCGGTGGGTAGCTCCTCATCCTCCTCGTCGCTATCGTTGAGACCGTACTTGGAGAAGTGCTTGACACGGAACACCCAGCTGCCAGTCTCGGGTCGGTATTCAATGAAGCGTGTGGCGTTCTTATCGCAGACGCGACGTAGTTTGCCCTCCCAGTCGATTTCGATCAGACGCTGCGGATCCTTGATGGCCTCGTGTTTGGTCTTGTCCACCGGCCACACCTGGTCCAAAGTAACCTGAGCCTCACGATTCAGGCCGCTTCCAATGGGCGGCTTGTTGTCATCATCCGGGTATATGATGACCTCCTTGTTGCGGAAATGTACTGCGGGAGCAGGGAAAGAAAGATTAAGCACTGGTGGATATTGAACTTCCATCTTCCTACTTACCAATCTCATCCAAATTGAGCCCGGCCACGTCAAGCTCTTTGCCAAAGTAGACGTTGCCGTAGCCCTCGCGACCAACTGTGAAATTGGGCACCACACAGGATCCATCCTCGGCAAGATACGACTTGAGATCGTCCAATGGCGGTATGGTGTAGTAGCCCACGCGGCGCAACACAATGCCCGTTGGATGCGGCTCCGTGTCGGCATCGGCATTGGCATCAGCTTCAGTTGGCGGCTCAATGGCCAAACGTTGCTCCGAGTCATGGGAGCGAATGGAGAGTGTGCTCTCGTTGCCATGCTCCGAGGTGAAAGTGTCGCGTCGCGCAATGCTGCTGGACTGATCTTCGAATGGATTCTCCGGTATGGTTGACACCGAGAGACGTGTGGGCAGCGTGCTCTTATAGGTTTCCAGCGGCTTGCGCGGCACCAGCTCCGTGAGTGTGCTGTTTAGCGGTGCCTGATCCATGCCCGACTGTAGATTGTGCTGACGCACCTTGGCCAAGTTGTTGGGATGCAACCAGGACTCACGTCGGCTACTGTCCTGATCCGCCTTCTGCATTGCCGGCGAGCTGTTGGCACTGCCGCTGGGCATTGGCTCGTTGGGAATAACATTATTGAAGGATTCACGTTGCGGACGCACTACACCCACAATTGCCGAGTTGCTGTTGTTATTGTTCATGGCCATGGTACTGGCCTCGCCTGGATTGGGTGTTGTCTTCACCTTGGGCTTTATCACCAGCCGCTTGACGTTTGGCTTGAGGTTAAAGCCCTCCACGCTGGCATCGAACTCCTCGAGGCCTTCGAACATGGATTTGCGATTCTTAGAGTTGCTCAGCGCCTTGACACGAATGCTGGCCGGACTCTCCTTGTTGGTGATCTTAAACTGGTTGCTGTTCATGTCCAGCACCGCCTGCTGTGCGGCGGGATTTGTGGCCCGCGTGGCGTCCACATCATCGCTGCGCTTCAGATCTTTGAAAATGGGCGTGTCGCCGTACGGCGATGTCACCTTCGAGAGAATCTGTTGATGTATGGGCACCACCACCACGCCCTGAGCCGGCGCCGCGCCCAGTCCGCCCATGCCGGACAACGCCATATTGCCGCCGCCCAGGTTACCGAAACCACCGCCCAGCGACGAACCGAAGGCACCGCCCGTGCCGCTAGTGCCAAAGAGTCCGCCGCCACCACCGATAGCTGTGCCCGTGCCCGTGCCCAGTGTGGAGGTGCCGCCAAATAGACCGCCGGGCTTGGTGGCATTGCTGAAGATGGAGCCGCCCGTGTTGCCGGCATTAAAGTTGAGCGGCGCCGTCGAGGTGCCACCGAAGCCGCCAAACGCCGAGGTGGCCGGCTTGTTAAGCTGGGAGTTGAATAGACCGCCGCCGCTGCCCGCATTGGTATTGCTCAGCGAGAAGTTGCCGAAGCCTGTGTTTGCCGTGGAGCTGGCGCCAAAAGCAGGTGTCGCAAAGCTGGTAGCTGGCTTGGAGCCAAAGAGACCGCCGCCTGCGGTGCTAGTTGCCGGCGCACCAAATCCGCCAAAGCCCGTATTGGCTGCGGAGACAGTCGCGCCCAGACCAAAGGCGGGCTTATTGGGATCCGTAGCATTTGTTTGTCCAAATAGTGGCGTCTGTTGGGTAGTAGTTCCCGCGGTGCTGCCAAAGCCGCCAAAGCCGCTGGTGGTTTGTCCAAAGGCCGGGGCAGCGCTCGTGGCAGCCGCCTGGCTAAACATGCTGCCGCCGCTCTGGCCAAAGCCCACGGGCTTGGCGCCGAACGGATTTGAGGCATCCGCTGTCGTTGTGCCAAATGCACTGGTCGGCGCGGCACCGAACGGCTTCTGCATGAAATTATTCTGCTGGGCTGGTGCACCGAAGGCGCTCGTTGCTGCCGGCTGTCCAAAGGCTGAGCTGCCGAACAGGCTCTTGTTCTCCGTGCCCGCCTGTCCGAAGAGTCCCGTGCTGGGCTGCTGCTGGGCCGGCGAGCCAAACAGACCGCCGGCTGCGGGCTGCGCGCCAGTTGCGGGGCTGCCAAAACCGAAAGCACCCGGAGCACTGCCCGCCTGAGGACCCTTACGCGAACTGAGATAGTCCTCCATGCGCAGCTCCTCCAGTGACTTCATCTCGTACTCCTTCATGGCGGTAATGCAGTGCTGTTTGGTATTCACATTGTTCGGCTGGCCGCCCTTCATCAGCGTGTCCGTGCCAATGGTGGGCTGGTACTTGACCAGCGAGGTGCCCGGATTAACACCACCCGCAGCGCCCACTGCCACCGCCTGCGGCTGTCCGAACGCCGACGCGGCGCCGCTGCCAAACACATTCGTTGTGGTGGGCGCCGCCTGACCAAAGCTGCCAAAGCCCGATGTGCTCGACGCGGCTGCCTGCTGCCCGAATAGCGGCTGCGCTGCCGGCGTCTGTCCAAAGCTGCTCATGCCCATCGTAGCTGGCTTTGCGGCGCCAAAGGCGCTGGTTGCGGCCTGGCCGAACAGCGAGGTGTTCGGCGCCGCCTGCGTCGAGCCGAATATGTTGGAGGTCTGCGGAGCCTGCGAAAATGCTAAAAAGAAATAAAAGCATTAAACAAAGCAGATCACAAGCAAGATGATTAAATACCCTTGCAGACAATACTTATTACTATTTTTTTTTTTTTTTCAAAATTAACATGTTAATGTGCAGTATATACAATAATATATACATATATCTAAATATCGTCTGCAAAGGGTTTTAATACGGCTTGCGGTTCGTCTCTAACCTCCAAATGATGTGGGCGCTGTGGTGGTGCCACCGAATGCGCTGGTTGTGCCTGCGCCACCGAACAGGCCGCCAGTGGGCTGGCTTGTGGCCGTCGCGCTGCCAAACATCGATGGCTGCGTCTGCTGGGCGCCAAAGGCGGGCGTGCCGCCAAACGCGGGCGTCGCTGGCTTCCCAAATGCCGACTGTCCAAAAGGCGTTGCCGCGGCGCTGTTGCTGAACGTGCCGAAGCCCGTGGTGCCGGCACCGGCGCCGAATGTGGGTTTAGCGCCGCCAAACATTTTGATTGATCCACCGGCTAACTGTTCGTACACACAAACATACAACACTTTTCGCTAATCGTCAAATTCTGCTCGCGTTGTCTCACAAACTTTGCAATGATTTCACAAATGGTTGCAACACGAGCTCGCGTTGTGCAAATAAATATACATATATGTGTGTGTGTGTATATATATTTGTTTAGGCGTTGCTTTTGAGTGCGGCAGGCAAGCAAAATGGCTAACCGGTGATCGTTAAACAATGCCGACTATTGCAATTTTGTCTAGTCTGCTAAAAGTTGTTTTGGGAGCACAAACACGGAAATGGCGCGCCGAATATTTTTCACTATGTGACTATGTTGACTGGCGAAAAACAATGCGACCGTTTTCGTTTACTATCGATCGTGATTTAATAGGCGATATTTCTTGTAGCCCTGGTATCGTTATAATAATTAAAATACTAAAAATATTTTATGCATAGCATCTTTAAATGTGTGCATTAAATAAGTTCAACTGCCATTAAAGTATACTAAATATTGATAAAACGATTGCCAAAGTATGGTATTAAACATTTTAAAGATTAATGTTATGCGTTTCAATGAAACTACTACTTTGGTATTTTGGCCGTTGCCATGGCTGGTCACATTGCACAGTAGAAGCCGAGCAACAGTTGAAATGAGTGCTCCGCGCGGTATTCATTCCGCTTAATTAATTAATTGTGAACGAAACAGCGAAGTGGAAATATGCCCGCTCGAGTGTATGTGTGTGCGCGCGCGGGAGCGTAAGTAAAGATAATGTGCGGCCAACTCCCAAAATGAGAACAAATTGACATCAGCGCAGCGACTAATAAAGTGCAAATAACATAAAACTCAAGAAAAATAAAAAGAAAACAGCAATGGAATTGTGCAATAAATGATATTCTATATAATATGCCAGTCGAGGCAACAAGAAAATGTGAACACCAACATCAAATTCAACTACGTGTTGCTTAAATACAAAAGCGGCCTTTTATTGTTGTTATCTTATATATTTCGCGTCGCGGTTTTCTTTAATATTTTGCAAACGAAAGAAAGTGTATGCAAAACTTATATACGTTTTTGTGTGTGTGTGTGTGTGAGTGTGAGTGTGAGTGCTTGCTAGTGTGGTAAAAGTTAACAATATCAACAACAACAACAACAAAAACAACAACAACATCGACCGACAACTATTCAAAATGACTGTGTGGAGCGATTGCAATGCTAAGCAATCATTTGGCATTGGTAAGTCTGATTTTAGCAAAAAAAATATAAATAAAATTAAAAAATCAAAGAGCATTAATATACTCAGATACTTTTAATGTGTCGAAAGAATGCTTAGAACACGCAACATGTACATTATTTCTCAAACATGCTATAGCCGCAACAAAATTGTTTAAACAAAATGTTTAATTTACTGCTACCTCTTCCTAGAACAACAACAAACAATACTTTCTGTGTGGGTGCGCTGCGTGGTACTCATTTCCAAAAAAAAAAAAACCAAAATCTGTAGCAAGGCAACAACAACTTGCGCTCTCAACGCTCTCTTCTTACCTTGCGCTCAAGTGCGAGTGCTACGCTGACTTTGGTTCATGGTTTCTGGTTCCCCTGCTGCGTTGGTACGGTAGTTTGTTGTTATTGTTGCACCTTCCTCTCCCTTGCATTCGCCGGCCATGTGGTCGCTGTGTCAACATGCACAGACACAGACTTGCCTCTTCTTCTTCCTCTGCGTGCACATTAATTTCGTTTTTCTTTCAATCTCATCCTATTTCGTTGCAGCCTCCGCATCTACGCGTCACTTTTCAACACAGGCATATATGTACATACATATATTCAGGCCTGGCTGTCTGTTGAGCACTCGTAAAGCTGTAACCTGTTTTCTATCGCCTGGTTGCACTCACTTACACTTAAATGCGCACACACACACACACTTACTTTTGTGTGCTTGCGAGAAAACAAACATTAATTTTCCATGCACAACAAATTCTAGTCTATTCATTGGCAATGACCATGAAATGGCAATAGTAATATCTTTGAAATGCTCTCATCGACCTGTGTGTACGTGTGAATTTGTTTTATTATTGTCGGCTCTTTTGTTTGTTGACCTTTTCGGTGTTCAATAGATAGGTGGAGTGCACATACATACATATTATGTATGTACATGTATATTGTATGTTATATGCATGTTTGTGTATATATGTATTTGCACATCACTTTCGCGATCGAATTAACTGTTCATTCACAACACTCATAATATGTCGAGTGCTTGCGCTTATTATATGTTCACAAGTTTGTCTGTGTCTCTTTCCCTGCTTTGCTGCCCAACACTGTCGAAATAATTTTGGCATCAGTATGCGCCCGGCAGGGTACATTGATGGGCGTGGCTGCCATAAACGTAATCAAATATGAAAATGATATAATGTTAGATTACAATCGGCATTGAGCTTAGTTTCATTTGTCGCTATTGTAATGAGAAACTCACACATATGTACACATACATATGCATGCAGATAGATATGCATGTATATGTATTTGTGAATGTTACTAGCTTGTAAAGTTTAACTGTAAAACACGTTTTAAGGTTTGCCGCAAGTTATCCTTGCGGCATGTGCTAGCCATTAAAATGTGGCCATAACGCACACAACAAACACAAACCATTTGCTTATCAAGAATAGTTTGTTGTTGTCTTATCGCAAGTTTTTTGTTTTATTTTTATTTTAACGCCTGCGTCTTATAGTTAAGGCACTTAGCAAATACGTGTGTCTGCATTTGTGTGTGTGTATGGCTGAACAACAACAACAACAACAATGCAACGCATTTCGAAATGCGATAAAAATGCGATTCGCTGTCCCACATTTGAGCAAATAATAGAAAAATTTCTTAAGCTTTTGTTTGTATTTATTTATTTATTCTCTTCATTTGTCATTAGATGCTTGAAAAAAGGCTCAATTTGAATGCAAAGCAGAAAGCGCACGCTACCCCCACCCCCGCACTGATCAATGTGTGTGAGCACATGTACACGCACACATTGACATGCACGCACCCACACTCCATTGTACGCTCTCTGCTTTCTCTCCCTCTCTCTCTCTCTCTTACTCTCTTTGGCCGCCTGTCTATTTGTGTTGATTTGTGACATGCAGCAGACGCCGTCAGGCATTTACTCTGCTACTTCAATGTTCATTGGCATTAGTTGAGCGTCTGCTGCACCTGCGACACTTGCCTGTCCCGTGCTCTTTCTGCCCGCCCCTCGCTTACACACTTTTTCTTTTTACTCCTTTTTTCTATTTACACTTGACTCGGCGCTTTATACGATATTTTCTTTAGTAACAGAAAGAGAGAGCGTATGAGAGTAGGCAACCATGCATTCTACTTCTAAATTTGAATAGCAACAACAACTACAACAAGAGCAAAGCAAACGTAAAACTTAATGAGGCCCTGCATTGAAAAGTAAAGATGTGTGGAGAGGGATCGGGTTGAGCTGAGTCGAATTGATGAGTTGCTCTGGCTCTATGGCTTTGGGGTTTGGTTTTTCTATTTAATTAAAATTTTCTTGTTCGTTAATTTTTGTGGCGCATGAAATGCCTTTTCATTTGCATAATTGAAAGTGCTTTCCATTTTGATCCAGCGGCAAATTTTCTAGCATGACAAAGCAACTCCAATGCAGCTGACCCCAACACATACATACACACGTATATATGTATGTATATGTAAAGATGAGAGTTTCTCAATCAAGCTCTGTTGCCAGATTTAGCACTTGTTCAAATTAAATTCCAGTTCCCCCCCCCTTCCCCGACTGTTTGCAGTGGCTTGAAACTATCAACAGCAGCATTCGAAAAACTCACAAAAGTACCTCCTCCCCTCCCACACGCTGCCCTGCCCGCAATCACATTCATGAACACATCCCCCGACAATTGTGCAAACTACTTAAAGCGACATCCACTTACATTTTGATATCTACTTCCACTGCCCCTTCCATTCTCCGCACGCACTCGAAAGTCAATCTGCGCTTTCCATTTTGCAATCCAAATTGAAATTTAATCGCAGCCATTGCCACATCACATCCTACCCCTGACATGGGATTTAATTGCTCTATAAATCGACAATATCAAGAGATTGTCGCATCATTTGTTGTAAATTGTAAATTGGCATTTTCCAATCGCGGAAAGCTGGAAAGCTGGAATATTTAAGCATAAATTGTGTAGAGCGCAATTACTGTTCTCTGTAGAGAATCGAATCTACGTAGAAAGCAATTGGGTTTCACTTGGCATCGACTGAGTCAGTCGGCATGCCGCATAAATGTCTCGTTCAAGGCAGCTGAAATTGGTTTCACTTTATTGAGAACTGCTAATGTTACGATCATGTACTCAAAGTCCACGAACCCTGGGTTAACAGTATTGCATGACTCAGGAGTACAGTCTTTGAACTAATTACACATACATATGTACACATATTCGTATCCTATTAGATACATTAGCGTTGCCAGATGGGTAAAAGCAACAAAATAAATCGAGTAAAAAACTAAGTGTGCCATTTTTTAATTAAATAATTTAATAAAATTACTGTTATGTTTATGCTACAAAAGTTTAACTGTTTTTTGTTGGAAATTAACTGGTTTATAAGGGGAAAATTAATTTGGATGGTTGTTTGGTACCAGGAACGAACGCAAATTGGGTTCAAAATAGAAATTGCTTGCTGTTCGAATACTTTTGTGTGTGTCTGTATAAATCAAAGAAATTGATAGAGTGAGAAGTACAAAATATCTGGACCACCGAAATGTGCTAGATAAGTGCGTTCCTAGAAAGTTAAAACTGACAATAAAAGTTGTATCCTTCCTGCCTATAAATTTAGTATCTTTTATTTTGACCCAAATGGGTCAAGTTTATGTTTACATTTCCACATTGTCGCTCGGCATCGTTGTTTTTATGGCTCGCTTCATAATAATAACTATTATCAACATTTTTTTTTTTTTTAGCGTCTAATTTTTTGAGTAATTTTTGTGAGTTTTACGAGCGCGGCGCCATTAACTGTAACTGTCAACTGCACATAAAATCTTATCTTCAAATTGGGTTTGTTCTTTTTTTCTTTATTTATTTTTGTGTCTTACCGTATAAGTGTCAGAATGTTTTGTTTGTTTAATAACTTTTGCAAAATGAGAAGAAAAAAAAAATGTATAAATACAATGGAATTTCTGTTTCGACATGCCCATAAAAAGCGTTACGCTAAACTCTCGAGAGCTCCCTGAAATATATGTATTTACTTTTGCTTTGTATATAACATATATGTCTTTGTGTACATATATGTTTGTATAGGAGAAGCTTCTATTATTAGCCAGACGAGCTGAGACTTAACCGT